TGTCTTTTCTGTTCTTATGCCGGTCACTCCTGCACCCCTTGTTTCTGCTTAGCAGTTTTCCAGGTTTCCATTCAGGCTCCAACTCCCTCGAAACCTTTACCGTCATGTTGCTCTTTACCTTTCCTGGATTTCTAAGCACCTTCATGCTGCTACTTTATACTACCAACCAGTATTGATATTTCTGTGCCAGGCATGCCTCCCTGGTACCTTTAGAGGTTCCTGTAAATTCAAGACTAAAGTGTTTGGTTCTGTCACATTTCTCTTTGGTACTTAACTATGTTGCTGAGCACTTAAGTTATTGTTCGTTGAGGTGAGGATTCCATGATTGTTCCTGTCAATAATTATTTGGTTTTTGTGAAGGAATAAAGAAAAGTCTCATTATTGTTTCTGGATGCAACAGGAAAGATCATACAAAAAAAAACCTGAAGTTCCATTTCTCTGTAATATAACATTTTTTCAGGTTTATCGAAGTATGACTGACAAAATTGTAAGATACTGTAATACTGTATTTTATATTCTCTGTAATTTCACATTTTCATGATACCTTCCTAAAAGTTTTTCCTGACACGATAACTAATAAATGCAAAGAAGTCAGAGGTGAAGTCTTCTTGTAAATTTGGCAGTTTTTAAAAAAAAGAAAGAAAATGATTTTGAATTTGTGCAAATTGCTATTGATAAATTTTAATGGTGCCTAATTGCATAGATATTTTATGCCATACTATGTCTTCACTTAATAAATTGCTTCAAGTATAAACAACAACTGGTATTAAATTGTGAAGTAGGGCCACTTAACCAGTTAGTCCTCAGTCCTGGGAAGATGTTCTAGAGCTGTTAACATTTTCACTGTTGAAGTTATTTTGTAATTACAAGAAGGAATAAATAGATAAAATAAGCATGCTACAGTATTAAGTGATTATGAAAACCTCTTAACCTTCTTCTTCTGAATAATGAAAACTCCTTCCTTGAACAGGAACTTGAATATTTAATTCTTGCTTATTGTTGCATATTCTTGCTGATGTAAATGTTTTCAGAGCCTTTTATGGATGATGGTTTGGGTGAATTTAGAGAACAAGGACATTCTTTTGCTCATACAGTCTGTGTTGGACTTTGTTTGGATTGTGAAGTTGTTGGTAGAATCTCTTCTTAGTGGGGATTCCTTAAGAGAATTTTAAAGTTCTCCTTCAGTATGTTTGCTAGATTTTGCTTTGTGGCTGCACCCTTTCCTCTGTCTTTTCAGCCTTGGAAATGGTGACTGTTATGGAAATGCTGATTTTTTTTTTTTTTTTTTTTTTTGAGGGGGGAGCGGGGGGGGGGGGGGGGGAGAGAGAGAGAGAGAGAGAGAGAGAGAGAGAGAGAGAGAGAGAGAGAATGAATCCCAATCAGGCTCCATGCTCAGCAAAGATCCCAAGGTGGGGCTTTATACCACAACCCTGGGATCATGACCTGAGCCAAGAGTCAGATGCCCAACCACCAATTGAGCCACCTAGGTGCCCCGAAGTGCTAATCTTCTAAGCAGACAGTGACGCTGTCAGCACAAAGGGGAGAGAGAATGAGACTTGGGAACAGGAGCTGTTATGAGCCAGGGATGTGGGGCAGACATGTGCTGCTAAGCTGTTTGGATTTCACACACATTGGCACAGAAAATCCCCATGGCACCAAACTGGTGGAACACTAGGACCAGATAGGATGACACCCATAAAACTAAAGGAATTTTTTCAGTACTTAAGAATAGAGGAATTAGTATAGCCTTTTTCACATACATAACTCTTGTGAGACTAAAATTTTATTTTATTTTATTTTTTTGTGAGATTAAAATTTTTTAACTCAATCTTTGTAAATAAGTAAAAGTTGAAGATGAGGGGCGCCTGGGTGGCTCAGTCGGTTAGGCGTCTGGCTTCGGCTCACGTCGTGATCTCGCGGTTTGTGAGTTCGAGCCCCGCGTCGAGCTCTGTGCTGACAGCTCAGAGCCGGGAGCCTGCTTCGGATTCTGTGTCTCCCTCTCTCTCTGCCCCTCCCCCGCTCATGCTCTGTCTCTCTGTCTCTCAAAAATAAATAAACATTAAAAAAAAAAAGTTGAAGATGAGATCATTGAACCTGGGACAGTTGCTCAGCTAGTAAGTAAGCTGATCTAGAATGTGGACCCCACATCTTGCTGATTTCACGACCATCTTGTGTCTTCCTTGTTCCACTGTGAATACGTGTACAATCATAGGGAAGATGGGATAAGCCACAGAAAAGTGAATATTTTGCTGAAGACGGGAATACAGATCTTTTTAGCTATTCCTGATTCTGCACTTCCTTCCAGGGTTTGTGCAGCAGCATGTCTTGAAGCATTATAAATGAAACACTTAAAACCAGGTCTGTTATTGCTCTCTATTTGGATATAGTGTTGGAAGTTATCCCAAGACAGTGAGGTTATCATGGTTATCATAACACATAGCCTAAATGCTTGTGTTTTAAGGCCACATCCTTATCTGGGAAACAGATACCACTGTGGGTAAACAGTCTGTTTCAGGATTTCAGAGTTTCACGATGCCTTGACTGTGCCTTTCAATAGTTAACTACTAAAATTGTGATACAGGCTCTTTTGCATCCACTTAATTTGAGAAAGGACTAAAGTTTCTGAGTACGGAAATTGTCTAAGCAGAAGGGTGGTAGTTGTCAACGATATATATCATGACATCATGAAATCATTGATCTCTCACTGTATTAGGACACCTTTGGTAGCAAGTACACTTTCACTGCGATCCTTCACCATGATAATAAGAGACTTTCAGGAAAGATATTCTGTAAACAGGAATGATAGGTGTACCATTTCTCTGAAGTTAGTGACACCTCTACATTTTACAGCTCAGTGTAAATGTTTCATTTCTTTTGCTAAGTAGTGTGCTTCTGGGGTGTAGAAAGCAAATATTTCCCCACTGTGTCATCTTTTCATACAGTTTATTACTGGTTAATACTGAGTTAATAGTTTTATTACTTATTGGCTTTTAGTGTTACCCTTTTGTCATCTCCCCGCCAGCCAGTGCAATACTGATAGTGACTGACTCCAAGAGGCCTAGGGCCTGCCATCCTCTGGCACTGCGTGTGGTGGTCTGCAAACTTTACCTTTGTGACTTCTTTCCCCTCTCTGGACCACTCTTCCCTTTCACTGTAACCTATTAGAAATGTGAGGATGGGTAGTGGGAAAAGCAGCCAGGGGTGGCTTCTTAAGATTTGCAAAGGGTGGCAGAGCTCTGATGACCAAATTGTGGAGCTCAGCCTGACACGTTCCAGTGTACTTCCAGGTATCTGAAACAAACTCTTCCCCCAAATCCACAACAGTGGCCATGTAATTATAATTAATTAGTCCCAAGTAGTCTTGGTGTCTTCATGTATCTTGTTGGATGGGTGGAGGTAGTAAAGTTAATACAGTAAAACCTTGGTTTGCGAGCATAATTCGTTCTGGAAATGTGCTTGTAGTCCAAAGCACTTGCATATCAAAGCGAATTTCCCCATAAGAAATCATGGAAACTCAGATGATTTGCTCCACAACCTAAAAATACTCATATGAAAATTATTGCAGTGCTGTAATATAATGTAAAATAATAAAGAAAATACAAAGTATAAAGAAAAATACATAAATTACCTGCACTTACCTTTGAAAACCTTCGTGGCTGGTGTGAGGGAGATGAGAGAGGAGGGTTTATTATGTAGGGTGACTTTCACCATCACTCACGGAATCAGTGCTATCTGTTGGCTCAATGGAATCTTTTTCTGCATGGGAGCCATTGTATATGCTTGCACGGATGCTGACTACAAGTACAGTATTAATAAACTCTTGTCATGTACTGTATTTAATCTAACTGGCAATAAGGCAGCAGAAGAAAGGGTCTATATTTGCAGGCGGCCTGACCTAGAATGAAGCAAAGCATTCCTAAGCTTGCTCTTGTATGGAAAAGCAAAGGACTGTCCATAGGTACTACTTCCTTTGAAGTGACAAAAAATACACTAGGGCCAGTTGTGGGCACCTTCTAACATTCTGAAAAATCACTGATACTTGCCAAACACCGTGGCCTGAGACTGAGCATCCGAGCATGGGAGACCATCACCCACAATCCCTCAGAGCGAGAGAGAGAGAGAGAGAAAAAGAGAGAAGAACCAATGGCTCAGGTGTGATCATGTGATATTCAGTGTCATGTACCACTCATTGTGCAAGACATCACCCATTTATCCAGTTAAAATTTATTAGAAATGTTTGCTCATCTTGTGGAACACTCACAGAACAACTTACAATCCAAGGTTTTACTGTATATATATCTTAGTATGGAATTGTAATTTTTACCAGTAAATGTAAGAGGAATAATCTATTCTAGTTTCTAGTTTCATATTATTTTCAAATACAAGCCAAAACTTACTTTTTCTAATTTCCTTAGACACTTATTAAGAAATTTGTTCAAACATGTTTGAATTTTCAACAAGACCACTTGGTAACTGAAACAAAGTTCAGTTTGGCCTCATTTACCTCAAGCAAAATCAGTCTCTCTCTCTCTCTGCGGCGTGGAGGTGGTGTGGGGGGAGAGGGTGTAGGGGAGGGGGTGTGGAGTGAAGAGTAGATGTGACGAAAGCAGAATTCAGGGTAGATTAGTCACCTTGGTGTTGGGATTTCTGTGTCTGCTTTTTCTTCCTCCTCTCTTCACCAGCCTACCCTGGGCGTTATCAGTCTTTTTTACCTTTGTCAGTCTCTGAAGTTACACAGAATTTTTCAGGGTTTTAATTTGCACCACGGTTAACATCTCAATGGAGCATCTCTCTCCTTGTACAGATACGGATGCAGGTTCATTGTATTGTCCTTCATGGCTATATTCATAGCTCTGTTGACAGTGAGCTGCTTGAAGTGCCTTGGGTATCCAGAAGATTTGGGGGAACAGTTGAGCACTTTGATAAAGATCGATTTTATTTATCCTTACTTGAGAAAAAAAATTAATGTTGTTTTTTTTTTTTTTTCCTTTTCTGTTTAGTTGCTGATCATCTGGGCTGTGATCCTCAAACACGGTTCTTTGTCCCTCCTAATATCAAACAGTGGATTGCCTTGCTGCAGAGGGGAAATTGCACATTTAAAGAGAAAATATCACGGGCTGCTTTCCACAATGCAGTGGCCGTGGTCATCTACAATAATAAATCCAAAGAGGAGCCTGTTACCATGACTCATCCAGGTAAACAAAACCGGGGGGGTGTGAGTTTTGTTTTTCCTTCTAGATACTAGTGCGTTGTGGGTAAGCATTCTACCACCGCTGAATCCACATCATTTACAACATCATTCTATGGTTATATTCATTTTTTTATGTTCATTTTTGGCATTATTGTTTGTTTATTGATGTGCATGTCTTTTTCCTTTAGTTGAATCCTTTTCTTAAATAATGACAACAGAGTCTGTAAAACTTGCACTTACTACGTAACTGGTTGTGACTAAATTCTTAGTCATTTTACATTTCTACATTCCACTTGATAATTTTGAAAAATAACATGTATTCTATTCAGAATCACTTGTCCAGGTTATGTCATGGACTCCCAAGGATTACCTCTTCGAGAAGGATGCATTTTATCTTACCAGGATAAATGTTGAGACTGATTCAGCCATTAGCATTACTACAGTAGAAACGGTGTTTCTTCATTTCTAATGTAACTGCTTTAATAACAGTAGTTGCAATTTATTGAGCACTTACTATACATATGCCAGGCAGTGGACTATAAGCTTTGGGGGGCGGGGGGATGTTTTATAATAGACTTTATTCTTTACAGCAGTTTTGTGTTCCCAGCAAAATTGAGTGGAAAGTACAGAGATTTCCCACACAGCCCCACATGTAAAGAGCCTCCCCCACTATCGACACCCCAGCCAGAACAGTACATTCATTACAGTCAGTGAGCCTGCATTGACTTATTATAATCACCCACAGTTCCTGGTTTACTTTGGGGGTCACTTCGGCTGTTCTCCATTCTGTGGGTTTGGACAGATATGACATGAATCCATCATTATGGTATCATACAGAGTATTTTCACTTCCCTAAAGATCCTCTGTGCTCTCCCTATTCATCCTTCCCCCCATCCTCCTACTTCCCCACCCCTGGAAACCACTGTTTTTTGTGTTTTTTTTGTTTTTGTTTTTGTTTTTTTTTGTTTTTTTTTTTTACTATTTCCATAGTTTTGCCTTTCCAGAATGTCTTATAGTTGGAATTATACAGTGCATAGCCTTTGCAGACTGGCTTCACTTAGTATTATACATTTAGGTTTCCTCCATGTCTTTTCATGGCTTGATAGTGCATTTTTTGAGTGCTAAATAACATTCCGTTTTCTTTTCTTTATACTTTTTTGTTTAATGGTTTATTTCTGAGAGAGAGACAGAGACAGAGAGTGAGCAGGGGAGAAGCAGAGAGAGAGGGAAACAGAATCCGAAGCAGGCTCCGGGCTCCAAGCTGTCAGCACAGAGCTGAACCCATGAACTATTGAGACCATGACCTGAGCCAAAGTCAGACGCTTAACTGACTGAGCCACCCAGGCACCCCAATAATATTGCATTATCTCTTCACCTCCTGAAGAACATCTTGGTTACTTCCAAGTTTTGGCAGTTATGAATTAAGCTGGTATAAACATTTGTGTGCAGATTTTGTGTGAGCCTAAGTTTTCACATCCTTTGGGTAGATAGTAAAGAGTGTGATTGCTGAGCTGTATAGTAGAAGCATGTTTCATTTTATAAACCGCCAAACCATCTTCCCCAGTGGCTGTACCATTTTGCGCTCCCACCAGCAGTAAATGAGAGCTCCTGCTGTTCCACATCGTTGCCAGCATTTGGTGCGACCAGTGCTCTGGATTTTTGCCATTCTAATAAGTTGTTTTAATTTGTGTTTCCCTGCTGACATATTATATGGAGCTTTTTAATACATATTTTCTTAGTCCTCACCATAACTGCATGGTGCAGGTACTCTCCCATCTTACACATCAAGAGAATTGGCAACAGGAGGGAGACTGAGCTTAGGTCCGCCAGTGGTCTCTGATCTCTTAAAGTTGAAACCTAGATGAAGTTGAGTTCTGTATTCATAAGTATTTTAATTTTTTTTTTTTTTGAGAGAGAGAAAGAGAGAGAGAGAGAGAAAATGAATGAGTGGGGGAGGGGCAGAGAGAGAGGGAGACACAGAATGTGAAGCAGGCTCCAGGCTGTCAGCACAGAGCCTGACATGAGGCTCGAACTCACGGACCATGAGATCATGAGATCATGACCTGAGCCAAAGTCGGATGCTCAACCAACTGAGCCACTGAGGCGCCACTGTGTTGATAAGTATTTTAAAGGTAAATGACTTATTTAAAGAATTAACTTTTAATCATATCATCATGTAATCAATTTTAGACCATTACCTTTCAAAGGCGTCCTCATCCTCACTGAGAGTCACCTTTTGTGTGTATTTTGATAGAGTAATGAGATGGATTTAAATTTCATTCTGTGATTTTTCTTCCTTTCAGGTTAAACCTTTTAGGACTGTATTTTTTGTAGTTGCAAAACTGACACATGCTCACTGCAGAAAAACTGAAACTGTAGGAAAGCATAAGTAATGAAATCGCAAGAATGAGTGATTTTCACTCTCCAGAGATCTCTGGAGACCTGTAACTTTTAATTTCTTCAGGGAAACCAAAAGGAGATTAAGGGCCAGTCTTATTCAGCTGGCCATCTGTGTGGGAACTCTGGACTAGAGACAGTGGCTTTTCTGCTCTGGGCCTCAGAGCAGGTGCCAGTTTGTTCTCCTTGGCTGTTTCAGAGTCAAGAAGAACTATTTGAAATTTTGGACCTGATCATTCCATACTGACTTCTTCTTACTGAAAACATGGAGAAAAATGGAGAGGGAGAAACTCATCTGAGCAAAATATATTTTTCTTTTCTGGTGATGTTATTTTACATATGCAAAACTGCAGAGAAGCAGCTAGAACAAGTCTTTCTCAAATATGAGATCTGAGGATTATAAGAGAGGAAATTGATACCCTTTTTTATTTTTTAAATGATTTTTGTTTTAAAAAGGAAGGAAGCCTGTATAAATTAGCACAGATTTCCATCTGTGTTCCCTTGAAACGTAAGTTAATTCATATATGTTCGTAGATGACCCATGGCAGAAAAAAGGTAAATGGTAAAATAAATTTAGGAAAATGCTTGAAATGTAGTCTACTTGTAGTGGCTCCTGGTAGACATTCTGAGGCCTCTGAGGAGTGTTAGAGTTAAGAACTTGTTCTACCTAGATTAATCTGTGATTTCCCAAACTTATTTAACCATGTAATCCTTTTATTACAGCTTAGGGTATCATAGCACAAGTAGGGAAATTTAGGGCTAGAGTTTGTGGATATATTCTTAGGAAATGGAACCTTGATGAGGCAAATGGAATAAAAGTAGATGTATGAGCAGTAAGAAATGGCTTCATGTTCTAATTAGACACCTAAAAAATCAGAGTAAGGTGGGAAAATAAATTGGTACAATACTTCAGAGAGAAATTTGGCATTACGTGATATTGCTAAAGAATGCATATATTGTGATACAGTAATTTCATGCCTATATACATACTCTAGAGTATTTTTCAGTACTTCAGTGTACAATAGACCACCTGGGCATTTCGTTAAAATGCAAATTCTGATTCAGCATATCTGGGGTACAGCCTGACATTCTGTATTTTTAACAAATTTCCAGGTGATGCTAATGCCTCTAGTCCACAGATCTTGCTTTGAGAAACAAGGAAGTGAAAACAGGAAACCTAGGTTTTAGTCCCAAATTTCCCACTGACTTGCTCCGTGACATAGGACAAGTTGCTTCCTGTCTGGGAAGGCCTCTTGTGACTCTAAACCCAGATTCTATGAAAGGCCATGCATCCCCAGTGTGAAGGATAACCACTGTTTATCCTTCTTAGGAGATCTCCCACTTTCTACCTCCAGCCGTGTGGGAGCCAGTGGGAGATTTCATACAGTTACACAAACATTCACAGTGCCTCTCTGTCATCCTCTTGTTACTCTGGATATGTGCATGGGAAACAAACAAGAGTATTCATAGCAGCATTGTAACAGCAAAGTACTGGAAACACCCAGATGTCCATCACAGGAGAACAGAGTGATTATGGCATGTTTGTATAGCAGTTAACTGTCAGTGAATTAAAGCCACATGTATTTATATGTATAAATGCCCAAAACACAATAATGAGCAAAAAAGAGTAAGTTGTAGAATATGTACAAATAGCATTTGAATGTTAAAAAAATGCAAGATAGCAGTTGCCATATACGCATGTATATAGGTATGAAATAGCAAAAACACACATTAGATTAGCAAATACCAAATTTGGTGATCATGGTTCTTTCCGGAGAGGGAAATGTAAGTAGGATCAGGGAGAATAATGAGGTTCAGACATATCTGTAATGTGTCACTTCTTAAGCTGAGGGTTGAGTACAGAGATATTCATTGTATTCTCTATAATGTTTTGGTTTTTGAAATCTGTCACAATAAAATTCCTAAGAAAGAAAAGCTCTATAAAGGATCAAAAGGTAAATAGAAGGGTGGCATTTCTGGCTGTGACCAAGTGAGGAGATCAGCAAATTTTCTTAAAAGAAAGCAAGTATACAACTGAACAGAACTGACAGAAGCATCCACTTCAGTGTTCTGGAAATCAGCCAGAGGCATACAACGATCTGAGGCACGTTTATGTTTTGAAAAACTGCCAAACTTTGGGTAAGAACAATGGGAAGCTGTGGTGTTTGGCCAGGGGCTGCTTCCCACACTCCCCAGGCTATGCTGCATGGAGTTTCTGCCAGAGTGGAGCGAGTGGCAAGGTCTGATAGCTTGCTCTGCAGGGACGGAAAGGTGGGTGATACGCATGCCTGACCTGTTGTCCTTGGAAGTGACTTTGTGGGGACGGGGAGATAGAGAAAGGCCAGTGTCTGTCTCTCCCAGCCCAAGGTTGTACCCAGCTGTGTTCTTGCCTGAGACCATACGCTCCGTGGTGACCACTGAGCTGGAGCTGTTTACACTCCTGTATGACCCCGAGACTGTGATGTGCACACACATAGGAGACTCAGAAGGGACCTATAGAAGTAACCCAGGCAGGATTGGAAGTGGCCAGAACTTTGAACTTTCTCTCCTGACAACCAAATCCATTAGCAGATGACAGAAGCCTAATTTGAGATGTTTGAGTACCAC